GGAAGTAAAATTTTACAGAAAAGGATGTGTGTGTTTGCTGCTTCCTCTCATTAATGGCATGATTTTTTTTTAATGCAAAAAGAAAAGAAAAAGAAAAACCACCCACATTTTAATTTAGCATGAGCCAATTTACAGAGCATGGAAATTCACTTTCATTTCCGGGATTGGCGCGTGTGCAATTAGCAATGCAGTGTATATACAAGAAGCCATGCTGTTAACAGTTTATCTCAAGTAATTTGGTGTCATTTACAAAAGGAAGAAATTCCTGCTACCAGAAAGGACAGAAGGAGATGGAATGATCAGATCATGGAGAAACACTAAAATTAATAAATCCACAACAGCTCGCCTTATTTTTCTTGGACCCAAACTGTCAGGGTATAAACACTATTTGTTTCTTTTTTAAAACATCAATAGTTTTGCTGTAAATAATAACACTGTATAAATTCTAACAGAAAAATAGAATAAATGTTGATAAGGCACTGCCTCTTAGAACACAAACAGAATATTGCAAATGCATTTAACAGAATAGGGGGTCTCAAGTGACTTCACCCTAGAAGAGGAGGGAGGGGTTCTGGGTGGGGGGAACTCTTCACTGATTCTTGTATATTAGCAATTATAATGTTTGTATATGCAAAACTGCTAGCTTGATTTTAAAAAAAAGAAAACAAATCTTTAAAATCTGCTGCAAATTTAAATAATTCCCAAAATGAGGAATTCTGTAGTTCTGTGAAAAAAATTTTTCTTCAGAATACTAATATTTTGATGCATGTGTATCACCTTATTTTGATTAAATCTTTTCCAATTTTGCAAACACTACAGTATACTGCAACACAGAAGATTTTATCTGTAAACACAAAGCCCTTCATCTAATCTTTGTTGCTATTGCCAATTTTTCAATGAAATGACCTAAAAACAAACAAAAAAAACCTACACAGTAGTTGCTTTTAGGGGGTGGGGGGATGCTGTTAGTGCTTAAAAGGGGATAATGCTTGCCGCTTTAGAGGTGGATGGTGCTCTTAAAAGGCCCCAGTCGGGGGTATTTAAAATGGACTGAACAGAAATCCTTAGGTCGTAGAATGGCAGCACGCTGTAAAATTACTACTGTATCGTGTACTGGCTATAAGATGTAGACACCTTTCAGTAAGCCAATCATTTGTAACCATTCTAGCAGTGTCATATTAGGTTAATAAGGCTGCTGTGTTTTAAAGGGCGTTTTTATTTGGGTTTTGGTGAAATTCTTTAATTTGTTGATTATATTCACATAAAATCAGCATTCATTGACACATAGTTCTAATGACATATGTATGAAAACCATACACTGGATGACCTAGTCGATTATTTAAGCATAAAATAAATTGTGTTAAACTCTTCACCTATCTGCTTTCTACAGTGTCCTTGTGTTTTCTGGACTATATGTGTATATATATATATATATATACACATACACACATATACATTTGTCTAGCCCCTTGTCTTGAATCCTGGCTACACCCATCCACCCTACTGGTTTTGTTTGTACTGCTGAGATTACTAATGAGATAGTCCTGAACATTCAGTTCTGCCGTATCAATTCTGTACATTTCATGGAGGAGCCAAGAATTCAAGAAAAACTGACAGGTAATCTTTGCCCACATCTGCTTGGGCTTCCCCCTAAATGTAGTGAATTGGGGATACGAGAGCTGGTGTGTCAAGAGGTTGTAAACTGGCACTTCCAGGAATCATCTAGCTTGCAGTTGATGTGAGCCCAGAAAACATTTGTTTTATCTTAACTGACATTCATTGTCAGTGCTTACCCAATTTGAGGGATTTCACAGAGCGACCCAAGTTTGTTTTGTTTTTTAAGAGAGTTTTTGCTCTAGGGTGCATGCACTCACCAGAGAAACAGAAAAAAGGCAAGAAATCATCCTCCAGAGGGGATGGCCATGCCACAATCCCTTCTCCTCCGTTCTCCTCTCAGGATTTTGGGTACACATGCACACACGCCTGCATGAGTTTTAAGCTGCTGGATCCAGGACTCGAACTACAATCACTACGTGGAAGTCCAGAGACGAAACCATTACGCCACCTGCTTGTCCCAGCAACCCAACTTTCTAACTTCTCTTCAAAAGTAAGATTTGCCAACAAGGGACCTCTTTCCCAGAAGACCACAACCTTCTCCAGGCAAGTACAAGTACCACAGATTCCAAATCCATTTACATCAGTGTCTTGACTAGCCCAGTAGGTGTTAAGAGTTTGCAGTGCGTACATCACATGAATCTAAGTTCTATAGGGGCAGAGACCAGGGTTTTCATTTATATTCTAGCCCAGTGCCTAGCATATAGTAGTAGTGGTAACCGATTATCTCCACTAAAATTGGAATATCCATTATATTCTGTTCTATGTTCTATTTATTAAGTCAGTCCTCATCACCATTGTGAGTTAAGTACTGTCTTTGATAGTAACAGTCTCACATAAAATTAAATGAGTGCTTAGACCCAATTCAGCTATGTCGTTGCCTATCCATGATAGATATTGCCAAATTGGATGAATTGCTCCAAGAATTCAATATCAATGTACAAGGCACCTATAGAGAACCTACTGCTTTGTATGGGATCCCGAGCAAATGGAATGAGTCCCTCCCTTGCATCAAAACCATCTTCTGAGCATACCAAGCCCCTTGAAATGCTTAAACAAAACAAAACCTTGCCCCCAAAAGCCTCTTTTTAAGACTAGAACCAGCTATAGGTGTCTTCACCGCCCACCTGAGTTACGAATTTCTGACTCTTAGACCTTGACAGAAGGTGTTTACCCTGAACTATGGTGTCATCAGGTAAGTCGTGGCGCATTTTTGCATAGAAAACTAGAAAAATACATCATGACTTCCCTGACTACCTAACAGAAACACGTGTTTCGTCTAGGAATCATAAAATAGTTATATTTATGTACCTGAAAATTTGACTTTTAGATTTGAGATGAGCTAACTTCAGGTCAACAAAAGAGCTAACTTCAGGTCAACAAAAATCATATTTATTCATAAATATACAAAATTTTATTTGCATATATGTTCATATGTATATGTGTATACATGGATTGAGTGAAGCATACATTATATATTCCTAATACAGTCTTTGGCCTGTCAATTTATAAAAATGTATATAAGCTTTTCCTTGAATAACAATGCTGTTAAAAAAAAATGAATAGTGATTGGTAAATTCCTGATCTTTACCCTCTTTTTCCATTTTCTATTCTTAACAAATTTCTTGAGTGTGCTAAAAATAAAAATGTATTATCACTGCATTGCCATATTATAGCAGTATGCTGTTCAGGGTTATTTCACCACTTGGAAGAGAGATCTTCACTAAACACATGAGCAGCCAGCCTCCTTTTCTCTCAATAAGGACTGCTTTGGTACCCTGATGTTCCACCATATTCATTTTGGTGATCCTGGAATTACATCATGACTGAAGTTTCCATCCAAGACGAATAGACAAAAAACGTTTGCTTGCCTTTCTGATTATGAACATCTAGCTGTATGACAGGGATATGTGAGAAACCCAGAAGTAAATCGCAAGAAATGATAACTCATCCCCTGAGCCTGAAGGAAGTCAGTGATGCAAAAGCTACCTTCTTGTCTGGGTGAGTCACGCCTGGTTGAAGAGGTTCTAGCATATTCAGAGGTATGTAATTTTCCAGTCACCCGTCCCTGCTGCTCTTTCATCCATCTATGATCAAATCCAGAGTAAGTATTTCCAAGATTGAGATTTAGCCAGACTTTTACAAAGTTCTTTTTTTAAAGAATTATTTCATTTTATTTATTCATTCATTCATTTTAATTTGGCCAGAGAGACACACCACGGGGCGGGGGGCGGGGCGGGGGGAGGGAGAAAGCAAGCCACCAGTTCTGGAACTCGAACCATGGTTGGCCATGTGGGAGTCCAGTGCCTTAACCATCATGCCACCTGCTGGTCCCCACAAAGTTCTTTTAATAACAGATAGTGGTGTAACATTTACATAGTTAGCTAGCTAATGATGGACTAAGATAAAAATAATACAGTGGATTCTGATGAACGTCCTTAGTAATAGGCCCAAGAGCTTTCATTTCTTGACTAGAATTACATGTGGACAATTTGAAGTACAGTAAAATGCAATTTAGCATTATATTTGCTACACTGATTCACTGAGAGGCATGTATGATGTGTACAACTAGGTGAATGTGGGACCAGCAGATGGCTTAATGGTTATATCGCTGGACTCCCACTTAACCTACTGCGGTTCGATACCAGACCCGGCGACTTAAACTCACACCGGGCGTGTGTGTGTGTGTGTGTGTGTGCACGCGCGTGCATGCGCACGTGCACGTATCCAAGATTCCAAGAGGAGAATGGATTACGGCGTGGCCATCCCCTCGGGGGGGGGGTGATTTCTCACTATCTGTCTGTCTCTGGCGAGCGCACATGCCCTATAGCAAATATCTCTTAAAAAAATAGGTGAATGTGCAATGAAGAGATCTTATTCTTTATCCCTTGGTGGTTCCCAAGAAAGGAACTAAACACCCTGAGGGTTGCATTTCCAATGAAACATCTTGGACCTCTTCACCAGTTAAAAAGGAATTCCATAGCAAACTTTATATAAGCATGCTCAGAGGTTTCTAAATTCTGCAACAAGACCACTGTGCCATGGGGCATACGCCAGATCGATCAAGACTGTCAGGACTTCTCTTCCAGAGCCACCTGAACTTCCTGGTGCTATCCCAGGAAAAGGTGATCTCCCTGCCTAATCTCCCGCAATCTTCTCAATCACCACTTCTCTTCTGCCATCTAACAAAAGCAGTGGCATAACTCAGAGCCCTTCAAAGTGAGAATGCAAAAAGCCTCTGTGAAACTTCAATCTTAAACACCTCAAGAAAGGAAACCCTACAGTGACTCTTAGAACTGTGATGTGACAGGTGGTGCATGTTGCAGAACAGGGGAAGATGAGACAAGATG